TGGAAACGATTCAACGGTGTGGATTAAACAAGCAAAAAAACGGCGGTCATAGAATTGGACGGTTTGTCGACAGAAGGCGAATCTTGAATGCCAGCTGGAGACTTGGGAATCTCTGGCAAGGCTGTATATACCCATGTACATTGTACCACCATGTATGATTATGGACTTATGCGATCAATAACGAAAAAAATGTTGAATACTCCTATTCTCTGTGGAATGATGACTATGGACGTTGATTACAAACGAAACAAAATGATCCTAACGATTGTGTGTTGACACGGGATATCCTAATTGAACAAAACTGGACAATTGACTGTATCCAACCTTGCGCCAAAAGAACTCCTTTCTATGAATCCTCCTCTTTCTTGACTCGGGGCAGCTCCTCTTGAGCCGTGACAAATGTGTCTAAACCAGGTCGCTCCAAAGGCGTGGCAACCAAGCCTGGTTCGTCATTTATGCCGTTCTTCTCTTTTCCAATCCCGTTCTCTTCGTTCTTCTCAACTGGTTCTGAAACCTGGATATTTGGGCTCATGGGTCTCGAGGCGGGCATGGCGGTAACATTCGACTGCAGGGTCTTCATACTGGCAGTGTCTGCCTCCCTTTTAAGGCTAAATGGAACTGCTGTGCCGTCGAGGAACGGTCGCTTGCCTGCAATCTCAATAGTTGGCGCATCTTGAGACGTAAGCTGGGTTAACTGAGAAGGCTGAGTTGAAGCATCATCCTGAAAGCTTGGGCTCATAGGTCGTGAGCCTGGAGGTTGCGTGACGTTGGACTGAAGCGTCATCATACTAGCCGTCTCGGCATCCTTGTTAAGACTAAACGGGAGTGCAATGCCATCGAGAAACGGTCTCTTACCAGCTACACCAGTCTCCGGCGCATAGTCGGGACTGAGTAGACTGGGCTTCGCAGCTTCTTGCTCCTTTCGCTGCTCTATGAGATGAGCAACTGGCATATCCTCGGTGATGGGCTGGCTGCCCGTCTGGTTTTCGTCGGTAACTACCTTGGTATGAGATCGGCTTCGTGCTCGGTTCGGTTGGGACCGTGATCTATCCTGTCCTTCAATATCAGCAAAGGAGCGAGCTCCTTCGCCATCGGCACCAGTGGCAACTCTTGTTTCTGGCTGTCCAGCCGCCTTCTTCTCCCGCTCGACTGTCATCTCGTCGTGTTTAGATCCCCACAGTGACCACATTGCTAGACCCCAGCTCTTCTGTTGTTTCTTGCTTCCTTCCACCAGCTTTGAATCAACGCGCCTTCGGCCAGCCAATGCAGTCGGAGGAGGACATTCACCAGGGCCATAGTCATGGTAACCAATGGCCATATCGCTCACCATCTTTTTATGGACCTTGGCCTTGTTTGATGCATATCTGTGATCCCACTCTGCCTTCTTGGCAAGCCATTTCTTAACTGTTCCCTCCTTTACAACTCCAACTAAAGCAGGTTCAATACAGCAAGATGGCAACTCGGCCTCAGGAGCCAACGGGAGAGTAGCGCCATGACGAGTAACTCTTTGTCGAATCATGTGGTTCTTGAACGGTGGTAGAGGGTCGCCGGCTTTTCCAACCTGGCCAGGCTCCGAGTGAAAGTCTGACTTTTCTGTTTCTGGGGTTTTCGGAAGGTTTTCTTTGGATTCGCTATCGGATCCAGATTCAGAGATGACGGATATATCGTCGTCGTCAAGAATCTCGATGCCACGTTTCTGAGCCCGAGCGAGAGCCCATGCACCGAACTGGGCAACAGACCTGTACATGTATTTCGCGGGACGAGTGAAACTCAGCGTTGGTGCCACATGACAGAGGTCGTCCCAAACTTGGAGTTGGACATCGGTGGGTTTGTACTTTTGCAATAAAGCCCTTCCTTCTGGGGTAAGAGTTTCCTCTGGGGGTGCATATTTTTCAGGGTTGGCACATTTGTGAGCCAAGTATATCTGCTCATCTCGTAAAATTTCCCCTCCTCCTACCATGATCAGAAGTGGAGGGAGCCCTCCAAGTGTAGGTTGCATGACTGGGCTGACAAGAGGGTGCGCAAGAAGCTCGTTGGTGGTATACATCTGAGGTTATCAGTTTCTGGTCAAACTCATGTTCTACGAAACCTACCTGAATCTGATCTTTGAGCTTGACGAGTTGGCCGTCAATGGTGACAGAGAGGAGCTTTTCGGGGTTGATGGGAATTCCACCGTTGATCCACTCCGATCTTGATGAAGCATCTGACGGTTCTTTCTTTGCGATTGGTGCTTGCTGCTTCTCCTTGAGTTCATGCTTGCCAGGTGTCTTCTTTCCATCTTTCTTCTTCTTCAATGCCTCTTCTCTCAACATCACAACATCATCCTCGTTCGGCGGCGGCCATGCTTTAGAAGGCTTGTGGTGGAAACCTGCCTGTGGTATATAATCAAAAGGGGCCTCGCCCGCAACGCTGGGGAACGAGTGTGTCAGGTCAACCCATGGGCTGATGAGGATAGCACCAGCAGGCAACGGGAGTCCTTGATCGCGTAGAACACATAAAAGAGACATGACCATTCCACCGCCCGCCGAGTCTCCAGCCAGCACAATTGTCGTTGGATCTTGAACAGTAAGCAGATAGATGTAAGCTGCAAGACAATCGTGGAGGCCGCAAGGGAAGGGAAACTGCGGCGAAAGGCGGTATCGAGGCGCAAAAACGCGTGCTTTGAGCTTTCGAGCATGTCGCTGCATCTGATATCGATGTTCGTCAACACTACCAAAGTAGTATGCGCCTCCGTGGATGTACATCATGACGCGCCGCGTCTTTCCTCCTTTTTGCTTTCGCTCGTAGGCGTCCGCGCGCATCTCAATCCATTCCGCGTCGAGAGGAGTCGCAGGTTTCCGCCATTGCCACCACTTCTCGCCGCCGACTTGCTTGATACCGTCTGGGCCAAGTTGCTTCTGAAGAAATTCAGCTGCGCGTGTCAATTGGTCCTCGGTGATGGTGACATCTTCGACTTTGACCCATTGAGGATGCGGTACCCACTGCGCGGTGAATGCTTGGAGTTCTTCAACAGTGTGGTGTGATGCATACTCGAGGAACGATCGGATCAGATGAAGACCTTCATCGTAAGAGAGATGCGCAGTTGGACGCTGTCGCAAAGGCTTGCGGTTGAAATACTAGAGTTTGTGAGTTAGTTTCTTGGAAAAAGAAAGCAATTCCGAAGTATCAGAGGAATTGGCTTTCGTCCCCTCTAATGGCTTAGAGGTACATTACACGAAATGATGAAAGTACGTACATGAGAGAACAAAGTCGAGACGACAGTAGGCGTCACAGCGAATGACACCGAAGTGGTGTTGAGCGAGTTCATGGCTGTCACTCACTCGAACCACCGAGTACTTGGGATACACAACAGAACAATCAGTGGCTTAAGGCTATTAAAAACGCGCCATGTGCCATGGCATGGAAGAGTTCAGTTCAATTCAGCTGGGAGACAGGCACAGCTGAACCCAAAACCTAGTAGGGGTCTCATGATGTCATTCTTTGATGAGACGCAACCAATTCCTACTGTACCCCTGACTCCACGGCACCGGGGATGGCTGATGGCTCGGCGGGCATAACGATCTTGAACCTTTATACTGAAGGGGTGGGACTACTTAGACCAGCTTGGAATAGCTTTTGATACTCAAGAATGACCTCAAGAAGGTTTTGGTCAGTTTATTTAGTACATCGACCAAGTATCCTAAGTTTGTTCCATTCCTATAGACACGGGACGTGTCTGCCTTCTGCATGCAGCGAGGGAGTCGCTGAATGAAACCTGACTTTGATTTAAAGATGGCCTGTGCTTTTGGTTTGTGGGGAGATTTGCAGCCAAGAATCAAGGTCGAGAGACCGAGGAGCTATACGAACCATAATATAGAGTTGGAAACTTGGCCGAGCCAGAGAATATCGGTAATATTAAGATCCTGCCAGTTCGTATATTGTATTCATTAAATTTCTTGTTAGATAATGCAATTGATGTTATTACCAGGCACAAGACAAAATTAGGTCACTCTCTGATGATCAAGGGACACGCGGGTTGGAATATGTGGGCCGCTTCTCTGGGCCGCAGCGGGTCTAATCGATAAAACACCAAATTTTTTATGCAGAGCCATCTTCTTCAAATTGCCCCTCCAAACCCCGCCAAAACTATCACCACAGTCATGGCCTCTACAGAACCCGCACAGCTGCCTCCGGCGGGTGAGTCTAAACACTGACTTCAAGCATTCGACAGAGACTGATCCAATTCTTCTAGCTGAACGCCAATCCGAGTTCGAGCAAGCCGTCGCATACGCCCTTCACCTATGGCCTGCCCTTACACTCTCAGTCCAGAACGGCTGGGGTGGCCCCGACTCTGCCGACAAGCGCGATTGGTTTGCCGGTGCTGTTGCCGACCTCTTCCCAGAATATACTGATACACCTCCCAACAATGGAAAGGTTCCCGAGGATCCTGACCTGGAAGAGGTTGAGACTGTCCTGCTCCAAATCATGGTTGACGAGTTCGAGGTCAACGTCGACGACGACTCCGGCACAGAAGTTGCGGGAAACATTCTCCGTGCTCGCGCGAGCTGTACTCTCGGAACCTTTGACGAGGTCAAGGCCCTGCGAACACGCTGGTTGAACCGCAAGGGGACAAAGGTTGAGGGTCTCTTCAAGAAGGCTGAGGATGCCGATCAGGACACAGACTGGGAGAGCGATGAAGACGATTCAGAGGACGACGAGGGTGGTGCTGATGTCGAGATGGACGAGGCACCCCCTCTGGTTGCGGTTCCTAAGGAGAAGCCCCAACCTCAGGTCGACGAGGATGGCTTCACGATGGTCACCAAGAAGAAGAAATAAACATAACAAAGACATAAAACAAAATTGGGGAGCAATGGGACATTAAGAATGAGTTTCTGGCATTGATACCCACGAGTTACAGGCTCTGGTTCTTTCAACATGCCACAATGGCTTCACTAATTCCGAACGCCGAACTGGACAGCGACAATCCTATCCTCTCAAACACATACTGGAATTTCCAACGTCTATTCCCAGTCCTCATCGCTATCTGAGTCGTCTTCGTCACTATCATCTTCCTCATCACTGCTTTCCTCCTCCTTCTTCTTGGCGTCCTTAGGATCCTTGGGGCTATTGGGAGTCTGTGTTGTCTTACCAGATGCTGCACCGACAACATCGTAGCTAGCCTCACTATCCGCCTGTGACTTCTCGTCGTTTGACTTGCGGGGCTCAGCTGGCTTCAACGTGGTTTTTGCAGGTTGCGTAGTGGCGGCAGTGGTAGCAGAGGGGGCAGTGGTGGCAGAGGGGGCGGTGGTGGAGGGGGCAGCAGGGGTAGTCTTGGGCTCGTCTTTGGATTCAACCTTTGTCTCTACCTTGGTCTCAACCTTGGACTTGGCCGCGGGTGTACTGGTATCATCGGAGGCCTCAGAGTCATCCTCGTCGGAATCGTCATCACTCCAGGCGACATCATCCTCAGCGGAGGCAGCTATTGATTTTTAGCAAGGCACAGTTGAAAAGCTTATTGACTCACCCTTGAGGAGATCTCGTCGTCTAGCCTCAGCTGTCTCAATACCGTGGCGAAGGAAGTAGTAGCGCTTCCAGAAGTCAACGTAGGGAACCTGGTCAGGAACCAACCTCTCCATAGTAGCTCGCAAGTCGGGAAATTTCTGTAGATCATCGTTGATTTCAGGTGTTTTCTTATCAGCATCAAAATCCTTTGACCACGCTGCATAATCAGCACTATTGGGATCTTTTGTGAAACTCTCCGTCGATGTGTGAATAACATGTAGTTGAGCATCAAATCTTGATGTATGAATCACACGCTTGCCTTGAGCATCCTTACTCTCGAAGAGAACAGTGCCGCTCTGGTCGGACTCCTGTGGAGGTGCAATACTGACGGCATCACGAAGGAAGTTCCGGATATTGCCGCCAAACTTGATAAGGGCCTCATCGGCGGCATCCTCGGCTTTCTGGAGGTCCTTTAACCTCTTGGCAGCTTCAGCTCTGAGCCGAGCCAGGGTGTTCTCGGACTGCTTGGCCTCTGATGAACCATCTTGTGATGCCCTAGGTGTGGTGGCCTGATCATTCTCACCGTCCCTGGAGCTTTCGCCGCCAACCACGGTGTTGAGTGAAAGGTTCCTCGTATGGCTTAGAATTGTTGATCGAAGGCCAGTAAGTCCCTTTGATGCATCTTCACCTACTTCCGCCAACTCCTTGGAGGCTTGTGTATATACTGATTCGCCCTAAGCATGTTAGACGGGCAGGGTTCAAGAGCTGAGTCCTCATACCTGCTTCACAACGTTTCCAAAGAAGCCACCAATCCTGGCACCCCATGGACTGTTGGAAAAGGCCTTGTATGCGTCTTGGAGGTCCTCATTCAATGTTGACTGAGGTTGAGGACTCTTTGGCTCCTCCGTCTTCTTAGCGTAGCCATCTTCTGTGATATGATCATAAGCCAGATCCATGGCGGCTTGCTATTGTATCGTTCTTAGGCCGATATGGGTCAAGACTATGGTTTAAGGCCCCAGTACAAGGCTCTGTGAGTCTTTTAATCCGTTAATGGTTAATTTATTCGATATCTCCTGTCGTCTTGATATCCCTTGGACTTGAGCCTCCTGACCGCACCTGTGGCGGGGTCCAATGGCTGTTGGGCACGGACCAATGCTCACGTGAGCGTCCCTTGACCTGGCTCTCGGTTCTTTGCTACCCTATAGCTACAAGTTTTGCTGTCATTTCCGAAATCTTGACGTGTTCCAATCTACTGTTATTGGCTTATCTTTTGCAATTTTGATCAATTTGTGTCCCGGTCCCAATATTGCTGATTTTCCTCATTGCACATGTTAATTTGCTTTATTTTGATGAGATTGTTTGGGTTCAGTCTTCTCTAATAAGCGTCATTGCCATGGATGTTAACCACGACTCAACTCCTCACTTACAGCTCCAACGACCTTACATGAATAAGGAACTCATCAATAGCATGAAAACCAAGCTCTATTGCCAATGACGACATTGAAAGCTTAAAGCGAAAACGTTTACTTGCCAAGCCTCATGATCATGGAGTTGTCCTTTCAGGCCTTGGTCAAGAACGAGAGCAGCTGAATCAGAACGTTATTTTAAATTGACCTCGATGAGTGATACCCCGCAAGCGGGATGGTTTGCTTGCATTCAATTACTTGGCGAATGCTTTTCGGTTGAGCTTAAACTTCCATTTCAGCTCACAACGCACTCGCTTAATCGGTGCCTGTCACCCAAACTGTCACTGACGTATCTATTGCGCAAGTCAAGACTGCAGACCTGGGGGAACCCTTGTTTCAGGACCCTCAATCCTCAGAGACAAGATGGTGTTGGTACCCTTAGAAAGTCCTTCAGGATGGACCCCTAATCCGTCATATTCCCGAACTTTATCTTATCGAATTCATCACATAGAACCCGCGGTTATCGATGATACTGTGGCATGTTTATCCTTAGGCAACCGATGGCAATGCCTTGTTTACCAACATTGACGTCGATGTATCTCGATCGTCGGCTTTACACGGGCAGAATTTCCGTCTAAAAAGATCAGTTGACCTCGATCGCGATCTGAGAAAAAGCCTAGAACGAGCCACAGCAGACGCCAAAATGCAGCTCGACGTGTTTGGATTGGCTCCAGTAAAAGGGGCATTGGATTGGCTTTGATCTTGAATCCTCACAAGACGTGCTTTGGACAAAGTGATGCTGTCATTGTGCATGAAGACATGTGGTTTTCTGCCAATCAGATAGCCGTCCCTGAGCCAGGGGATCCATACTGGCAATCCTCTAGCTTGGAGCCGCAAGTTGCCTGCAGTGATCATCAAGCTTCCCGTTCCTCGGTCTATTATCATCCAATGATATGGAGGGAATCACAAGTCAGTCAAGGCCACTCCCCGGATCGAAACAAGAGTGGGCTTTGCAGCGCTGGGCAACATATCTTGGCTAGGTACTTGGCTTTTGGCTCCATAATGGACTTTTCCATCCTTGCGATGACGTAGTATGCTTTGCAGCTTCGCAATCCAGACTGCTCCAATACTGCAACTGACGTCACACACGATCACGATCTGGGAGGCAGATGCAGTGCCCCTCTATCACAAGCGTGCATTTTGATAGAGAAGCCACAGTGATTCCGTGTGGCGAGCTATCATGAGCTACCTCCGGACCTCTCTCCGGCCTGCTCCTCCTTGCCCATGCGTGCCTGGATCTTCAACGTGAATCACGGGCAAGCAACCTTCGCTCCAAACATCTCTCCAAGCACTACTTAAACCCCGTCTTCTCCCACCTCAATCTCTTCTTCTTTCATCATCACACACTCTCATCTTCAATCAACATAAAAACACTCACAAACAACAACCAACCCAAACCACCAACCACTATCACAATGGAGTCCCTCAAGCAAGCCGGCAACTACGTCGCTGAGACCGTTCAGCAGGCCACCTCTGGTGCTTCCAAGGAGGCCAACAAGGAGGTTGCTAAGGACGGCAACGTCCCCATCTCCACCCGGTAAGCAACCTCCTCCTCTTCCAGACCTCCCACGAGCACCTCACGCCCTCGACACCAAGAATACATCTTGAGCCTCACTCCATCACACTCAACAACACTTAACCTCTCTGTCCAACATTTTACTAACATCTCTCTGCAGTGCCACCGCTGCCAAGGACGCCCTTGGTGACAAGATTGACGAGACCACCCACGACAAGAAGGCCGACGTAAGTCTTCCCTGAACTACGATCGATTAGATTATACAATGCTGACCGAAAACTACAGGTCCATAAGGAGGCCATCTAAGTTTTCCACTCCTCGACATGACAACATGAATCGGAATGGCGTTGAAAGGGAATAGCATTGGGACTACATAGGCTGTATTTACCTACACCTAATACAAACAGTCAAACACCAGAACAACCAGAAAGTACAGAGTGAAGTAAACACATTGTAATTTGATATTCAAAATAATTTACGCCTGAAGGTGACGGGCTTCAGTTCTCAAGACCTGACTAGTTCTATACGCGAGAGACTGTTAACGCAAATATCAACCAACCCTGGGGCTGTGACTGATGATTGGGACAAGCGGTATAAAATTACGGTTGGGACAATACTTTTACATGGAACCCTGGCTAGACTAACGTAACGTGCTGGATAATGCCGTATGTCACGAACTGTGTCATCTCCAGTAAACTCGGATGTTCAACTGCGTACCAAAAATGTAATGAGAAGAATGAAATAAGTGATGGTGAACATACAACTTTGCTTCGCCTCTTAGCAATTTTACAGCAACAGATATTAGCGTTCTTTGCCTCGTGTTTGCTCATATCATGCTGCTTGTGAAAGTTTTCTTGAAGCAACATATCGGTTATCATCCTCTCGAGTTGGCTAAGCCTCTTGTACCTCTCACGCACCGAGATCTCTGTCCGATCCATCGCTCTTCCAACTCACACTTTTATACCTAGAATTGTTCAATCTCGTGTGAGGCATACTACCTGCACACGACCAATCTTCAACATGATAGTTCCGCCACCACTGATATAAGCAGCATAATGTCTGCTGCTAAATATCCACTACGACCTCCCAGCAAGACAAACTCTATCTCAGACGACAGGCCCAAAAGACTACGCAAACCATGCAATACTCGAAACACTTCATGTGGTGAAACTATTCAGTCGCCAATTTATGAAATGTTGGTTCTGCCTACTGGGAAGCCGATTCCTTAGAGATTGAGGGCATTGAACGATGGAAGCTTGGCTTGTTGCAAGATGGAATGCCACAGATGTGACCCGACACCATACTTCAGATGCTATTTTCACGCCATTCAATTTATTCAAGGATGTCTCTGAGTTCTTAAATGACACTCGTATTGCTAGTGGAAACTTCCCGGAACATGAAGAAACCACAGCCATCACCATGTAATTTGGAGGGTTGGACATGATCAGGTAAAGGAGTCATGATGCCCCTCCGAATCCATCACAAACTGAGCTAACTCTTCTTCTCATTTACGTCGTCCTGACTCGTTTCCCGAATTCGTCAATCAACAACTTCGGCCTTCTATTGACCAGCATTGCCTCACTTTGCCATAAGGGCACCGTTCGTAAGACTGTCTGCTTGATGCTGGCTGGTCTTACAAGAACCTGGAGTACGAAACTCTGCAACATTAGCTATCAAGTCCATCGCTAATGGCTCGGTATTGCCCCAGTAGGATCATTTGGGCCCAGAAAGTCGTCAACCTCTATCTACCCAGAGTTCGAGCCACCTATGCTCTTCGCGAGACAGATGGCTGAGGTGTTTGTTCCTCGTTAAAGGCAAGGACCTAACATGGCTATTAACTGCCTGGACATATCCGTGATAAGTGATGATCGACTAACTACTGCAACCCTCTTAGACCTACTGGAGAATAAATGTCAAGCAAGAGTGTAACGAGAGCAATATTTACCTACGTCCCACGCAGCAAATAAATACAGATCTAGTGCCATCTTCCACGACAAGCCAACAGGCGAAATGAATGGGAGACCCAGCCAATGTAAAGACGAAGAATCTGCTACGTGATTGTTTTGGCCGGTCCCCTATTGATCGTTCATTTTCGCATGGATCTCACTAAGCCTGGATGCGACCCTCTCTTTAACGAGATGGAGAGAACATGCAAGACTTGGATAAAGCTCAATGTGATGACTTCTGTTCCAACAACAATGATTTGCCACAAGAGACTCCTAAAAGGCAACATAATGAGTTGTTCCAACTGTCGTACGAACTTCTGCTTTTCATCAAAATCAATCAACAACCTAGAGCTACCTCGCTATTTTCCATGTAGAGCAAAAATCGCTATAAAAAGAAGCACCCTCGTGTTTCCGTCATTAGCCCAAATGAAAAGTAAAACAATACCCATCTATCATCTCAGCCAACAATGGCCATCCAGAAAGCAACATCTCTTCCTCCATTAGCCCACAGACTTCCGAAAAGCACTATGCGCCCACGAGTCACAGCACCTTAGATGTAGTACATGGAGTTGATCAATCTGGGGTGAACTGCCTTGTTCCCGGCTGATCCAGCGCTGATGACACTTTCACCGTCTGTCTCCTCGAAGAACTCAGGTCGATGAGCTCGAGCGCGAGTGCAAACAATGTCTGCATAGTAAGCGGGAGGGCAAATGCTCACAGCCTTGGTGGCGCGTCCGAACAGATAGCAAAGCTCGTGAGTAAACTTCTCAAGTTCATTGGCTGCCTCGTTTTTGAACTTGGCTTGGAAGATCTCGTCAAGCAACACTGTGTAGTGCGCAGGACGGGCAGTTCCCTTGATGCTTGCGTGGGCGGTGAGGTAAAAGTCCCAGTAGCGAGCCTCCGTAATACCTCGATCGACGACAGTGCCATTCTGTATGTTGTGATTTTTTTCCATGGCATTTTCTTCCGAGGTAGGGTAAAAGCGAGTCTGGTGTCGCTTAACGGAAACGATGATGGAGATCTTGGGA